CGCGCACGCTCAACTCCCAGTTCACTGGCATCGATTTGTTTGTTACGTAACAGCGATAAGTCTCGATACGGTCATTTATACGATACCGGTTGAGTTGTCCACTACAAGAACTTGAGGGAAGATAATGACTTCTGTAGAATTACCCTCACTGGGCAAGCCGCTTGCCGCGCACCCAGTGACAGCCAGGTGGTTCGCCCGAAATAAACACTCGGCACTAGCGTTTACAAGATCATTTGTCCTAGATTTATCACCTTTGGGAACAAGATTTGGGTACTCAAGGGTGAAATCTGGACAGCAATTGTTGTATACAAAGCAGAGGGAGTGGCAACTGCAAAGACGTATCATACCAGTCATAAAACGATTAAACTCACCGCATATTCCCCTAGAACTGGTTTGACCTCCCCATCGACGCTTCCGTTGGTGAGGAGTTTTTTGTCTTCTGATTTTCTTTACATCTGCCCTGAACCGTGTTATAAATATTGTCTTGACGTGGTTCTTCCACACCGAAGCCTGTTTGTATCGGCAAAGCAAGATTTATAAATGGCCGCTTGCACTGTATGCTTCCCAGGAAGTTGAGTTTGTTTCAGAATGCTCTCAGGTCTGCTGGGGTAATAGTATAGATTGTGAAGCGCATAGAGCTCGCTTGTTTGTTTGGTTTGTTTTAGTAGAGGTTTTACGGCGCTCGCAACTGCATAATACAGCTCGCTGTTGAGCGAGGATTTGCGCTTTACAAATGCTATCTATATTTATCTACATGTATTATTATTTCAGGATTTGATTGTGCATGCGTATCTATAAGCGGGACGCTACTTTCTCCAGTTTGTTTATGAGCCCGTCTATAGGACACCAACAAATCTTCAGCACTGTTCACACCTCGGTGTGCCGTTTTGACGTCTGTCTCTGCCTGTAGTGAAGATCTGAGTTTACCTTTATTCCTCAAGCCCCACGTAGGTCGAAGAGACGGATTCGGTAAAACTGAATGAGGAAACAAACAAAGAGCTGTGTCGATGCTTAAGATAAAAACACGAGATTAAATCTAAACGAATCGGACATCAGGGCCTGACAAGCAGCGGACAAACTGATCCAACATGACACTGACAGTGAGTGGTCTTACTGCCGCTGCATTCTCAGAAATCATGTCAACACTCTGAGTTTCTTTGACAAATAGCTATAACTTTTTAAGCATTTGCAGTCCTCTGTTTATTCAAGTCTCTCTTTTCAATGCAAAAGAAAGTAAAACGCATTTCGAATGAAACATTGCATTGATGTTCATCATTTTCTTTTGCTGAACACTGTTCCATACACTCAGCAGGGTTTGTCGCAGACTCGAACAGCACTAGCTTTTCCAAAACAAAACTCGTAGAATAAGAGAACGAGTCCACTGGAGAGAACCTCTTGATATGAAGCCGGTTTTCGGCTGTGGTCAACAGTTTGGAGAGGGATGGATTCCGACACGCTATTCTGCCCTCGATACGCAGAATGAAAAAGACAACCACTGTTGACACCATACCGGATCGGTCGTCGCCTGGGTCAACAAGGACCGTACCTTTCATTACACATCAGGATGAAGGTGCAGAATGGGGTACTGGTGACAACAACAAGAAACTACACGCCAGATCCAGTATCGCTAACTCAGAATTACAAATTTCTAACTGCTCAGTGCCTAATTTGAGAAATTTGGCGTTAAAAAATTTCAGTCTCTCTATATTTCAAGGGCCAACACTTCAACTTTGGTGACCTCGTCACCCCACGAAATTCCTACGATCTTGCAGCAGCATCTGAGATGGAAAATGCCGAGGCACTTTTCTTGCCTGCTGTACAAGGTCCATGTTTCAGATTCATAAAGGCGTGTGCTTAGAACACATCCTTCGTAAATCTTGATCTATGTTTTGATGGTTAATCAGTTGTTTTCACATGCTCGTTTTGTCAGTCTTTCAAACATTGTTGCTGCTTTCTCTATCCTGATGTTGATGTCATCGTCAAGTGATGTAGTAGAGGTGATCGTAGACCCCAGGTAACAGAGCTTGTCCACTTTCTCAATATAAACATCTCAAAGTAGTCAAAGATAACTTTTCCAGGAGCAGACATAGAGAGTGGCCACGGTTTACTGATGATAACCTTTAAACTTCATCTTAAGGTCAACAAACAGGGCCACACAAGAACCAAATTTGACCTTGAGAAGCTGAAGGACCCTGAGATAGTATAAACTTTATAAAGCAATGATAGAGGGGAAATTTACGCCAGTGACTTTGCTGATGAAGACGACTCGAGCACGGATGGTTTCGTCAATAAGTTCAACGCAGCAGTGGACAGTGGTGACGGATGAAGGATCAAAACAAGAAATACTGCTCAGGATTGCCCAAACAATTGATGCATTGTCGAAGATCAAGACCATCTGGAGAGACAAGAACATGGCACTCAGTTCCAGAATCAGACTGATGCATTCTTTGGTCATAACGATCTTCCTGTACGCTTGTGAGACATGGAGCCTACACGCAGAGCGAGAGAGGAAGATACAAACTACAGACATGAGATGCTTTGGAAGAACCTGGGGCAGCTTCTCCAGAGATCATGTTACAAATGAGGAAGTGAGGAACAGAATTAGGCAAGCACACTGGACCCTATGAAGATCTTCTCACTTTGTGGAAAAAAACCCACAAACTGAGATGGTATAGGGACATAAAAAGATCAACAGGACTTATAAGGATGATCCTAGAGGGCACTGTACAATGAGGGAGAAGAAAAGGCAGACAGAAAAAGAGAGGGGAAGACAAAATAACGAAATGGACAGGTTTAAAGTTTAATAATGTCTTTCCAAAAGCTGAAAATAGAAAAGAAGGTGAAAAATGGTTGCCCGATCATTGTTGGTGCCCAACGGTCATCTAGAACCAGGGATAAGTAAGTTTGTTTGTTTTTGTTTTAGTAGAGGTTTTACGACGCTCGCAACTGCATAAGGTCATATGAGCGCCAGAAGATTAGAGGTGTCACAAGAGAGTAAGAAACATACAAAAGAAGATGGGGAGATAAGGACGATAGATGTTTGATAGGACAGAAGGAGCAAACCACACCAGAGCACCCGCCAACCACCCACTAATAAGTAAAGTAAAGTTTTTCACGCATCCAATCCGGACATTGGGGATTACCTTGTCAGTGAGACAACTTCTTGGGCCTTCGGCATATTGTGGTAGGGTGGCCAGTTCCTTTCCACGCTGCCTTTACTTCCCCAACTCGAAGTCAGGTAACCATTACTGCTGGGTGGGTAGGAAGGGCGAACAAAATCTGAGTCTAAACCGAGGCTCGAACCCGGACTTTCCGCATCAGAGACGAGCGCACTAATCGCTCCGACACCGCATCCTAAAGGGATAGTAGTGAATTTCACTTCATCCTCTAAAGATAGTAAAAAAAAACCCATTTTAACCCAATTCTTCTTCTAAATATATGTGTCACAGCGCAGTGGAATCAAGCGCTCGTCAATTGTTGGGTATGTGCTGTTATTGGCATTAACTTAGAGCTTGTTTTTTTCTCTTGTTTTAGATGAAAAAAGTACTCATCCATCATAAATAAAAGTCGAGATATTTGCCATTGAATGAAGTAGTGATCGCCTGTTCTCAGAGGTAAAATTAGAGAGAAAATGGCCGCCGAAGTTTGGTAACTTTCAAAGTTTGAATGTGAATGAAAACTGAAAATTTACAATGTGTATGATGTTATTAACTTTTCAGTAAAATCCACTATATATATGTTTAAATGGACATAAAAGATGAAAGCAAAATCCAATATTTTTTTAAAGGGAAAGAAAATTCCAGAAAAATTGCCCATTTTTCGTTTCGTTAGTTTAACAAGCGCCTGCTTTTACCATGTTTCCTCTATAAAATGCTTTTGAAATCTTTTTAAAATACAAGCTCATTAACGCTACATGAAGAAATGGCATTGATTCTTTTCAAATGATCGCCTAATTTAACGGACTCTCTCGCCACATATCTTCTTTACGAACCAAATTATCAATCAAAATGAAACAGGGAGCAAACTTCTGCAAAAACCAAACAGCTGTACTACAGTGGATACCATCTCACCTTAACCTGTTTGGAAATAATACCCCTGATTCTTTACCAAAAGAAGGGTCTTCATCAGAGCAATCTGGAAAAGGAAAACTCTTTCAGAGAAGCCCAAACCCTCATCAAAAGGGGGCTACAAGCAAAGTGGAAGGAACAACACCCACATCATCATCATCATCATCATCATCATCATCATCATCATCATCATCATCATCATCATCATCATTAATAGCCTCAGTACAACCAATGTGCTGATCTTGACTGACAGTCAGTTCCTCTGCAAGGGACTGCTCGGACATAAATGATCTGAGCCGCAAGTTCAGTGAAGCCAAAACCACAATAAAAATCCAGTGGATTCCAAGTCATGTTGGAATCGAAGGAAATGAGGCAGCAGACCAAGCTGCTAATGAAGCCAGAGAGATTGAAGGAGGCAGACGACCAACAACATACAGAGGAGTCTTTCCAATTATCAAGAGGGAAATCAGAGACCCACCATGCAGAGTTAAGTACCAGCACCTGGAAGATGTGTATTCTGGGTACTCCAATTAGCGGGAACAAAATATCACATGTCGCTGGGACCAGGTTGAGTTAGCGAGACTTCGGTAGGACCATCATTGGAGCTTGAGATGTTATAAGAACTTTGTGAATGAAGAGCCCAGCCCACGTTGCCGAAGATGCGGCCATGAAAAGGAGGATGTCAAACATATATTTGAACGCCCAGGAACAATGGCAATTCGAATGGAGTTATTTCGACGAGTGGAGGTGTCTCTAAGCATATTGACAATGGGGACTAAAAAGAGTCTCGCTCTCGCTCGAAGATTTCTTCCTGGAGTCCGCCAGGCTCATTAAGGAAACCAAAAAAAAATCATCACCATTAAACAAACCATAATAACAAAAATAATGATGATAACTATAACGATAACAAACAAATGCATGAAGAAATCAGGAATTTTTAAAATATTTTATTTTAATTATAATGACAAAATATATTTGTACACAAACATAACTCCAACTCCAAGAGAGCCAAAAAGTCCGAGGGCGTTCACTTTTGATGACGTCATACTTCCGTTTCCGCAAGTCTCCATGCAGACAGACGCATTATCGAAATTGTTGTCGTTTCCATCGCAACCGCCGTAAACAAACTCGTAGCAAGTGTTGTTCACCGGTTCGTAGTAGAACATGATCATATGGGCACGACACCATCCCACTTCAGGCTTCAGACTGCACACTGTAAAAATGAACAGAAGAGAAGTATAATAATAATAATAATAATAATAATAATAATAATAATAATCATCATCATCATCATCATCAT